TTTCAAGTGTTTTAAAATCGGTTGCCGCTCAAGTTCCGGTTCAGTTAAAGTTCAGTTCAGACTACGCTATACTATGTTGCTACTATAGTACATCGCTTCATAAACAAGTAATCCAATACAGTATAGTATAGCATAGTGTTAACATGTCCATAAACATTAATACTGAGCTATTTTGGTACGCTATCATTTACTTATGTATATTCTGGATATTATAGCATAGTCTGAACTGAACTTAATGGTTGTATGATAAGAAAAACAACTAAAGCTTTTGTTGATACGTTATAGTTACACGCTATGCAGCTATATTATGGGTGTGGCACACATAGACTGGATTGACCAGAGAAGGACCATGCTCTCGCACAATAGATACCAGCGTAAAATTGCTGCTTATTGCTGCTGCGTTACGGTGCATGTATATGATGCTTGCAGGTTGTTACTGTATGCCATTCATGGGCATACAGTAACCACAAAAACATTATTTTAATGAACATAATATGCTATTCACAACTAACAGAGCAGTGACAGCTTAAGAAAAATTTATCCCGTCGACTTAAGAAACGACTATGGAAAATGTGAGTAAGAAATATCTTATATGACTGCCGACAAATGGCAGTACAACTATTTAGTATACGCCAGAAGATAAGTTAATCTGCCTGTTAACAGGACTCTTAATGAAAAGTCCAGCAGTATATCATTATGGGCTCTTGAAAAAAAAGAAGTTTCTATTTCTTCCGAACGATTCTTGGACATTTGGGACTTATTGGTCCCATGTTTATGTGAGACTTTAACAAAAAAGGACGTAATAGGGGACTAACAAGATATCAGGTTTCTGATTGTGTATGCGATGGGCTCGCCACCTATCACTTCATTCACAATTTTTCATCTATACCCACATTTATCGCTAAACCTGATAAAAGTAGCTCGCTGCTCTTTGGACTCAGTCCAATCATTCAAGGATTACTCCGGTCGTTGTCAAAAATGTTAAACTTAAAAGACAAAACAATTTTACCTAAAAGTAGTAGTTGTTAAAACAAGGTTATGCTAAAGCGAAGATTACACATATTATGTTTACGTAAAGCGCGGGAAATATCAATATAGTGAATGTTTAACCCACTTTGTAATTTGCTTTAACGAAATCGGCTAAGAAATTATTATACCTAACACTTGTAATATAAAAACATATTAATGAAAAAGATAAAATTTATAATTAAAGTTAAACATTTGTAACATAATATAATTATGTATAGATATACTTTTGATGATCATTGTTGCATAAGACCTTTTTAAGAACGAATTAATATAATAATAAAGTTAACTTGTGGTAATATTTGGATGTGTGGTAAGATTAGCTTGTTTTCTAAAAGCTGAGTTAATAATTAGAGTGAACTTTGAAGTAAATTGTTTGAAATTAAAATATTTTCTGAATACTACTAGAGGATACAAATTGGTGGACTCAGTAAAGTCCAATGCCAAATACTTGTGGCAACCTAGAAATTAAGTGTAGGTACTTAAATTAGATAAGTGTCAATAATGTTAAGTCTTCCTATTCATTTAAAAAATAAACTTTTTATTTTACAGTTTTTTATTTATAATTAGTCTCTTCCGACAACAACTCAAAAATCCCGTCATTTTCAAATTTTGTCCGGATTTTTTGGTCCTTCGACCTGGCATTCCTAGCTGTGAGAATAGTGCTTTGTTTGATTTCATAGTGAAAAGCGCAAATAAATATATATATATATATATATATATATATATATATATATATATATATATATATATATATATATATATGTAGTCACCTATTTCCTCGGTAAATTTCTTAAGTGGTATTAGTAAGCTCTCCACCAGCGACTCTGTCAACTGAACAGTGAACAGTAAAGATGGGTAGCACTATGTAATTAAATAACAATATGATATCGACTTCAGAAGAAGAAATAGAAATTTCAAAAACAAAGTTTTTGCAAAGTATTTTACAGAGTTTTTCTTACAAAATAATAATACTAATGTTCTCCAGAATTTTCTACAACGTGTAACAAAAACCCTGTGGTTCCCGTTAACTGCGTTATCAGAATCAGTATCCAAGCATATAGACATTTTTTTTTTCATAAAACACATTTAAAAAAATATTTTAATGAAAAAAAAAATTAGGCTGAGGAGTAAGAGGATTGTCAAAGACCCCCTCATTACAGATACTTGTGTGCGTTAGAGGAAATAAAACCACATACAATTTGCGAATTATTTTTTTTTTCATTTTAATAAAAAAAATTACTTAAATGTTTTTTGAAAAAAAAAAAATATTTCTATACGCTTGGATACTGATTTTGATAACACACTTAACGAGAACCACAGGGTTTTGTTACATGTTGTATACGGTGGGCAGTCTCAACGTTGACTGGCTATGCGCGGGACAGGATTATAGTGCTCGAGTGTATACGCATACACTCTTTCTCTCTCACTTTACACAAAACGGATGCGACAAAATGGCTACTAGTCCTTACACTTGCAACCATATTTAAATAAAGAAAGCTTTAGATGTTTGTATACTTGCCCCCTATTATACCACCCGTATATAGGGTTTTCAGATGGTCGGGATTCGTCTGGGTTCTCCCGCCATTTTAAATGATCTCCAGACTCTCGATAAAACTCAAAATTTCCAGACAAATGGCATATAAAAGATAAGTTAGTAATTAGACTGAACTTTGTAGTAAATTGCTTGAATTTTAAATATTTTCTGAATACTACTAAAGGATCCAATTTGGTGGATTCTACTAAAGTCTAATGCCAAATACTTGTGGCAAGTTAAAAAAATTAGTTTTGTCTAAAGTACTTTTGAGCCTCTTTTTATTTTTAATATAATTTCTCTCAACAGCAATCTCAAAATCCCTACCATGGAGGTTAGAGTGAAGAAGAATGATCGCTATAGAAAATAGTGTCCCAGAAATATGGACAAAATAAGTGAGGCGCTGCGATCGCTAATTTGTCTCAATAAAGCGGTTTATAGTTTGAAATGATTATAATATCATTGAAAGGAAAAAAAGAAAATAACGAAATTATTGTTATTTATTATTATTATTTATTAATAAATAAATTATAAATTATGTTTTTATAATTTTAATTATTATAAATTTATAATTATTATTGATTTAATAATATTTTTTTAATAATATTTCACCATTTTATAATGTTTCTCTTTGTCAATAATTAAAAAAATTACTTCGCAGATACTAGGTATTTACCGACGGCAGCGCGGCTATAAATTCTACAAATTTTCAGGGACAGGCGGGCTATGCTTTAGCACGTAGTTACTCCTGTTCTCTATCCTCCATAATCCCGACTTTTTTTTAAATTTGTCCAGTTATAGCAGTACACGTATTGATGCTTAGTGACAGAAATAGAAAAGGGGTCCATCTACCTAAGTAGCGAAACCGTAAAAGTTCACAGATCGATATAGGCTTCTCACCTTGTACCAGATCGCAGTATCGTAGTACCAGACGTGAACACCTTTGATGTTGCTGCCCGTCCCTGGTCTGGGTAGGTATTTCACACGTCTGTTATACGCTTATTGGTTATACTGCATACTATCGGAAGGAATAAGATATTTCTAGCGTTTAACTAAATCGCCTCTTATGACAGACACCATTGGTTATTAAATTAAAATTCCATTAGTTTGATTACCGAATTTGTACAAGATACTTATGAACAAATGTTGTACACACAAACATTACATCATAGTAAAAACAGAATAGTAGGCTCTCTTCTACGAAATGTATTGAACGTCGCTAATATGACTTCGTGCCTGTCACGTAACAGTACGGACTCGTACGCACGACCCACAGCACGCACACACGACACTTGCTAAGTCGGAAAGGTCTGGCTGAGTCGGGGACGGCCACCGCAGCGCTCCGCAGTCACCTTTGTGATGACTTTGTTGACTTTCTTTCTGTCTTTTATTTTTTCTTTTTGTAACATAAATTAATATATGAGTTTCTTTAAGTAAATTAGCTTTTCATTAACATGTTATATTATTATATCTATATATAGATACATACCTCATAAGTACATTAATTATCGTATCACATCCGACCAAATTAATTTTAAACATTAAATCTGAGCTGACACCATACCCTCTGTGTTAATTTATTCATATTTTATTTATTTGCATGGACCGGAAACATTGAGAGGAAACCAAAGAAGTAATTAACAAATATAATGCATAGGTGCGTATCCGTATGTATTATGTTTGTAAATATTATAACTGCTTATAAAACTAAATGATACTTAGCTATGAAAGTAAAAGATAGTGACAACCCTGCAACAGTAAGCATTTAAATCTCGCGCGGCGCGACAGTTTTCCTACTATTCCGTTTTTACTACGATTACACTATGTACAAATGTATAGATAGATAGATAATTCTTTATTGCACACGCCAAAACACAAATTCTTTTCTTATTAATTATCTTATGTCTTAATAAATACATGGTCTTAAATAATAATTTATTTTGTACGCAAAACCAAACAATATAACCGACAGTAATGGCGAATTCATTAAATATATCATTTTATGATAGGTACATAGCGTGTCATAAATAATTTATGATTGTTTAATTGTTGCTATAAACCTTTATTAAATTTTACTACCTTCCTATACTTTTTGTGATGCCGTAATTATTTACTATTAACGTAGCGAAACAAAGCAAATAAATAATAATGAAACCAAATCCGATACTAAGAAAGAACGCCCTCTTCGGGAAATTCTAGAAAGGGCTAAAGTCTGACCCGGATTCCTGAATCCGTGTGTGTAATCCGGGGGTATGTGCCAGATACTAGGTAAAAGAATTTTAGAAAGTCAAGGTCTAGTTTCTCTTAGCTGTGGTAATGCTAGGTTTAATTGCCTCAAGCCTGGATAATATATTTTTTCTGTTAATGTGTTATAAAAGATTTGCACTCATGATGGTCGTTTATCCCCTCATCAATATTAATTATATCAAAAATCTCTCACCTGTTCCCTTGGCCATTCATTTGTAAATCTTTAAATTAAAAAAAAATCTACATGTCCTCCTTCCTCCTCATAACACGTCACGTTACGTTACTACAGAATAAAAGTAGTTACGTTGTACCAGTTCTGGCGCACTGAGTCAGAAGTGGTACAAGAGTAGTTACGTTGTACTAGTTCTGGCGCACTGAGTCAGAAGTGGTACAAGTACGACGTTCGTCGACTCACGATCCTAAAAAAAAAAGAAAATAAAAGGATTTGGCGTGCTCTGATCACGAATCTGCGGTCAATTTTTGCGTAGGATGCACGGTTCCGGAGATGTGCAGATCAATTAACTCTTATCTAATTGATATCCGGTGAAGGCCTCCACCGTCATTAGCGCTCCATTGTTCTTATCTACTTATCTATTGTTCATTGAGTACCGTCATTATCTATTCTTCCTCAGCGTGGTGCTATTGTTCTCCTTTGTTCCTATCTACACTAATCTGACTCATCAATAAAACACATTACATAATTTTGTTAAAATTTTTATTTACAAAATACAAAATCTTATTACTTATTATCTATAAAATAGGAGCGAAACATCTCATCCACTAAAATATCGTTGTACAATGTGTTCTCTGTAAATATACTCGTAAAACTATGCATTGAACATCCCTGAAACTTATATAGCAAATACATTAAGCAATATTCGCCACAAACTGAAGTCCGCTCATTCTGAATCCTATCAACATTCCAGTTCCATCTTTTACAATTTCTTTTAAAAAACTCTAGATGATATCGTACAGGTGCCCGTCCGAATGAATCAAAATATTGAGAATAAGTTCGCATATCACTTAAATCAGCTTGCCACAGTTCATTAATATTTGATAGAATGTACCTATTACGCGGGAATTTTTTTCGAATGGGTTTATGTAATGTGTATGTTTCTTGTGATTTTAACCATTCCTTTACTTGCTTTTTATTCATTTTACCCTTCATGGCTTTTGATAATTTATCAATACTACTAAAACCAGCGGGATTAGATGGATCATAATAAATCCTGTTAATTTCTTCTAGTACGGGGTCCATTTTTCCCACTCAAGCCTTTTACGTATTTTAGTTGTAGACTTTTTATCTCTACTACTCGGTGTAGAAAACTCTATTTTAGTTATAGATTTTGTATCTCCTCTACTCGGTGTAAAAAACTCTTGAACTTCAATCTCAGAGGGTTTGTTCAGATCTTTTGCTTGAAGTTGGTTAATAAACTCACATCTCTTTGGATTTCCAATATAAGTAAGTGGTACTTTAATATCTTTTAATGCTTCAGCAAATCTATCCCACTCTACTGGATCACTTCTTTTTAAGGATCTTAGTGAATCATTTATTAAATCAACAATATTACTTCCAGGAATTTTTTCATTATCAATTATGACTGTACCTTCATTATCCCAAAGTATTTTATTTTTACTTGTTTCAACTAAGTTTAATAGTAACTGTCCCTTTTTATTATAAGTTTTTATTATTAAACTGAGTATTTGAGCTGGTGTGTAAAGTGGATTTTCATCATTTTCTTTACTTTTAATGGATCGATTCTCCTCCAACAAAGATTCAGCATCAACTGAAGTTTTTAGATCTCTATCTTTATTTTTAAAACCAATTTTAGACTTATTTGAATCTTCATTAGATGTATCAGAATAAATTGGTAATCTGAGTGGTTGACGATCTTCTTCGATAAAATGAAGGTATCTTTGCAGTGTTTGTAAATATAACATCCATTTCTTTCGGTCTTCCGTCTTACTATTCATAATATTTTGCATTTCAATATCTAATCGAGATACATTACTATTAACCTTATTTTCTTGTTTTAATTTTTCAATCAATCCAGGTTCGATAAGTATCATTTTCTTTGCATTTTCCATATTAACTGGCTAGTTCACTCACTAATCCACTCAATATTGCACCTAATATTATTGGTAAGAAAGCCCCTCCTTTTTGTATAATTATATTTTTTCTTAGTTTATGTTTACACTTACGCACTAGTTGACGGAGTATATTTTTGTGTTTATTCGATTTTTGTTTATCTTGATCTTTAAGAGGTACTTTTCCTTGTAATACGTTATGAATACACTCACAAATACAGTTAATTTCTTCTTCATCACACGTTTTAAGTAATGCTCTTTGATATTTTGGTTTAAGCGTATGCAAAGCGTTTAGCAAATGTTTATGCGTTGTGAGTCGACGATGCATCATTTAGCAATGATTTGAATTGTTTGATTCTTGGTGTATTTAAACTCTTTTGTGGGGACGTAGACTGTACAGAAACCATTAAATGGGAAGACATTTGTCTTGATACGACAAAAATCATTGGTATTCTGTTTTAAATCTACCATTAAATATCCATGTGCCTCTAGAGTTGCATCCCTGTAGGCATCTTCAATGAATTTTGGGTTATCTGGTGACACTTGTCGTGCTAAATATCTTATTTGAGTTTTATCTCGAGAGTTTTTAAAATGTATTATATAACTTGAGTTTTTAAAGATATTTCTCTTTGCCCTTTACCCTGATGAAATAAATTTTGCATCCTACGCAAAAATGGACCGCAGATTCGTGATCAGAGCATGCCAAAACTTTTTTTTCTCTTTTTATTTTTTTTTTAGGATCGTGAGTCGACGAACGTCGTACTTGTACCACTTCTGACTCAGTGCGCCAGAACTGGTACAACGTAACTACTCTTGTACCACTTCTGACTCAGTGCGCCAGAACTGGTACAACGTAACTACTAATAAATAAATGTTACGTAGAACAAGATGCTTGACGGTGTCCGCTTCTTTGTCGTCGACATAGCACGCCCTCGAACTTCTTTATTACTTATGAGAGGTAAAACGAACATCCGACTCACATGATGGTAAGTGGACTACCGTGGCTTAAGAACAACTGCAACACCAAGGGAATTGCAGATGCGTCGCCGGCCTTTAAACTAAATAGTTTGCTTTATCTTTCGTAAGACTTGGTAGACTTACGTGGTAGAGCCACGCTGCATCTATATTATGGTTGTAGCATGAATGGGTCGGCTCGTCCGGGGAAGGACCACGCTCTCACAGAATACCAGTGTAAAATGGCAGCTTATTGCTGCTTAATTTCGTATAATGAGTGTAGAGATCTGAACCGTTTTACTGGAGTCAAGGCATTCCATCTTAATCCGCAGGGGTGTTGACGCGTTTCGATTCTTAATCGAGGTTAAGTGTGGATGTCTATGGGTCACAGCATGCACTTACCATCAGGTGGACTGTGTGCTCGTTTGGTACCTTTATTTTATTTTATTTAATAAAACATACAGCAAATGAGTGGAATTATTAATTTGCCTGCATCTTTCCGCTCTATTACAATATAGATGTATTCTATTATATCTATATTGTTACGTTAAGACAGTGCGATTTACTATATGTATATGTTTATATCACCACACTTATCACCAGGTGTGATTGTAGCCAAGCACACTGGCATATATAATATTTCGCTTTCATTCACTTATTATAAGTGAATGAACAGCGAATGTGTCATTTGGCGCGTTCTTAAAAAGGCTTTCACCAGGCAATGGTTTGAGAAAAGTTTTTTTTTTTTATAGATAACATAACGTAATATCTAACAACATCATCATCATTACAGCTCATCACAAGTCGTCTGCTGAACCTTCGCCAATAACAACATAATCAAGCTTAATAGTTTTGATTATCATCTGTATGTAATCATTTTAAAATTATATAAAAAGTACAATGTAGAAAAACAAAACCATGTCGTTTGAAATATGGCGGCCAATAATCGCGCGCCCCTGAACTAGATTTGCTCCGGTTTCACAAGCGGCCGGCAGCAAGAGGGTTTGTAACAACCATCAATGTTTAGAGTTGACTATTAAAGCAATTTAAAAGTATGATAGTTGCTGTATGCACAAAACGTAGTATTTCGTGAAAATTAAAATGGATTTTGTACGTGAAAACGTTTTTTTTTTTTAAATGTGTTGTAATAAATATCCAGGCAGTGATAATTATTAACCCCACATGAATGCTGGTCCCTAGTTGCACTAATTACTTGTATTTATGTGGGATATTTTTTGTAGTTTTGTCGTGTAGTTGGGATGTATAAATAAATATATAACATTTCCGGACTTGCCCACAGTCGCCTCTTACGAAAATCACGGCTTGATATGAAACGATGGAGTCTCTTGCGCCGGCAATAATGTGTTTTACGTTGTAATGTTGTAATATTAGTGAAAATATTAACTAAATATAAGCCAACTAAACTTAAATTTAGTTTTGATCCTTAGCTTTTTTTTTCCTAGCCGGTTGTTATAATATATGTGTACTAGCCATCCGACCCGGCTTCGCACAGGTGATTTCTAATATCGCGACCGACAACAGCACCATCTATCAAGTCCAATTGTTAATCTATATTATATTTTTATTATTATTATATATATATATATATGTATATATATATATATATATATATATATATATATACATATATATAATATAATTAACGCACACCCTCAGACACCCCAATTAGTATATTATGTTATAATCATAATACATACACTGAATCTTTAGTTAAACATTTTTATGCACCGATTATTTATCAAATTAGTTATACTAATTCCGGGAGAATGTTGTGGTCACAGTACAAACGAATGAAAAGAAACACGAATGCAAAGACTTTAACGTGCGTGAAATAAAGTTAATTTTTCTTTATTTTTATTAAATGACAGAATTAGTAATAATACAAATAAAACTGCACTCTTAAAAGTCTTATTGCCTTAAGTTACGGTCCATTTCATTTTGTTTTGACTGTACAGATTTAGTGTGATTGTAATTTACGTGGTTTTAATTATTTTTGGGATAAAAAATTACCTATATTAAAAATGATAGGAATCGATTCAGTAAACGATTCTGAACAAACTACTTTCTCAAAGTGCATTAATTATGTTACATGTTGTATATATATAAGCTAGAAGTTATTTTTCCTCTTCCAATTAAGTATTTTATAGTAA